CCATACAGCCCGCCTTCCAAAAGCTGCCGTTTTCTCCCTGGGGGAGGGGGACTGGTCTTTGTAGCCTGGAGGCCAGCCTTAATTTCGGAAGGTCTCCGGGCCCCACTAGGAGGTTGGTAACCGTGTCTGAGCTCTAACGGCATTTATCCCCGTGTGGACCCGTTGAAGGGTTAGATGGGGTGCAGGTGGGGACACTTCAGTCCCTCCCCTCCCAGTGCTGCTTGGAGCTGCCCCGCCGATGCAGAGGCGGCTGCCGACGTGTGGCGAGGATTCTTCACGTGGCTTTTATTTCCAGGGTCCACACAGAAGTTTCCCCTGCACTTTCCTGGCCTCAACCCCTTCCCCCTGATGCAGAACGGTTTTCTTGGAATTAAAAGAATCGTCAGCTGATATATTGCTTATGGTGTTTTAGGCCGTTGTTCCTGTGAATTCCCAGTTTCTATCTTTTTTTAAAAAGTCTCTATCCCTTTTTTGTGCAGAGGTATAAGGAGGAAAAGGTAAAGGTTTCTTTGCTTGAAAGCCAGTCGAGTCCGACTCGCGGGGTTGCAGTGCTCATCTCCGTTTCAAAGCCGAAGAGCCAGCGCTGTCCGAAGACGTTTCCGTGGTCATGTGGCCGGCATGACTAAACACCAAGGAACGCTGTTACCTTCCCACCGAAGTGGTACCTATTTATCTACTTGCAACTTCTTGCTTTCGAACGGCTAGGTTGGCAGGAGCTGGAACTAGAGATGCGAGCTCACTCCATCATGCGGCACACTCAGGTCTCGAACTGCTGAACTACTGACCTTCCACAGCCTGCAGTTCAGTGTCTTAACCACTTGAGCCACCGCAGCTGCGGTGCCCTACCTGATTGCTGGCATCCAGCACGGCTGCCAGGACATTGGAGCAAAAAGCCTCTCTGTTCTGCGGTGAGGAAGCCGGAGGGCGGGGTGGTCCCCTCCAAGGCAATGGGTGTGCATCCTGTGGCCGGCTCATGGCTTGGAAGCTTGCTGATGCAGGCCCCTCGTGTCTCCCCCCACCCTATGAGTGGGAACCCAGCTCTAGCACTCCCCCTGGCTGTTAGCAGTCTGGCACTGAGGCGTCAGTACCTGATTAGTTCCAGCTCCTGCCAACCTAGCAGTTCGAAAGCAAGAAATGGCAAGTAAATAAATAGGTACCACTTCGGTGGGAAGGTAACAGCGTTCCGTGCGCCTTGGTGTCTAGTCATGCCGGCCACATGACCACGGAAAAGTCTTCGGACACCGCTGGCTCTTCGGCTTTGAAACGGAGATGAGCACTGCAACCCTAGAGTCGGAGTCGACTAGCTTTCGAGCAAGGGAAACCTTTACCTTTAATAAATCATTGGTGATATGTCAGTTGCTGATTTTTTTAAAGGGGGGGGCTGTGGCAAAGATTGTGGGTGGGACCTTCTAAAATGTACACTTCTCGGTTTACATGGCATCTAAACACACTTTGGCTACAGTCTTCCCATATTTTACCAAACCAGATTTGGGATGGATCTCAGTAAATGCGAAAAGATATGTGACGTATTCAGTTGAGTGACAATGTCGTGCGGATGCTCAGAAAACCCCCCAAACAACCCTGACTCTAGTTCAGATGCCAGACTGGAGTCAAACCGTCCAGGAGAACATCAGACCTCCTTCAGTGAATCCATCAGCTGTAGCTGTGCTGGCGGAGTTGATCTGGCCGGAGCAGATCCTGCCTGAACTCCACCGCAACTAGACTGCTGTAGCACGGTTTGGCACGGGGCTGCCTTTGAGAGGGTTTCAGTCGCCGAAGGATGCTCAAGCAGAGTCTCTGGCTGGACTCCTAGCAAGATGACCGTGGCCTGGATAAGCTCAGGCTGTTGCCTGGCATCCGGGTCGGAGTGCCTTTAGGGGCCAGTTGCACAGAGCAGGGCCTCTTCAGTGGCAGTTATGCCACTCCGTGCCCAGGAAGGACATCGTGTCGTCTTACTTCTGGCCGCTGTTGGTGGCTGCCCTGTTCCAGAAGACCTCTTGCGGTTTTATTCCTTTGCTTCGCTGGGCTTTTAAAATTCTGTTTTCTGGTACCTCTGTAACAAATTGTAACAAGGCTGATCTTTCCAGTTGGTTTTACTTGCTTCTGTGTTGTCATGTCTTGCTGTGCATTGCTGGCGCTTTGATTGTTTGGGGGATTTCTACTGAAGCTGCCTCGAAGTCTGGCTTTGTTCAGGATGTAACTGTTGTCTCCGTGGTGGAGGAGGAGGAGGGGTCCTGTCCTGTTGGCCACTCCCCCTTCAGTTCCCTTCACTGGGGCGTTTCCCCTCCTGTCAGTCATTCCATGTCTCCTGCTAACTGGGGCCCCCCTCCACAGGTGGAGAGTCCTGCCGTGGCTTTGGCTTCGTCACCTTCTCCTTGGCCGAGGATGCTCAGAGGGCCATCCGAGAGATCACCACCTTTGCAGGCCGTAAGATCAGCGCGATTCTCGCAAAGCCGAAGGCAAGGCAGAAGGAGAAGAAGAAGAAAGGGGGTGAGTTGAGGGGCCTGCCTAGGAGGTGTGGGGGTTGTGCCTTTCTCCGCCTGTGCAAGCTCACCTGCGTCCAGCACCAGTGCTGCTACCTTGATGTTCCCAGACTTTGGCTGTTGCTTGTGGCCCAGGAGGCAGACTCTGGTTTTCCTTGCGCTGCAGGGGCAGTTTCTAGATTTTTTTGGGGGGGAAGCAGAGACTCTGAAGGGTTCCTGGTGGTAACTGTGCTTCAGCAACGGAGCAAGCCGTCCAGGGAAGCTGTGGAATGTCCTTCCAACTGGGGGGGGGGGTCCCCCAGTGCATGTGTCCGGAATGTCATGGGAGGGGGAGGAAGATGTTCCCTTGTGATTTCAGGTCTGTCCTGGGCATCGAGATGCAGTTAAAGTCCCAGGTCCCCTGGGGGGATGGGAGGGCTGGCAAAGCAGCCGATGGCCTGTAGGTTTTCTACATAAACACAAATGGAATCTGGTCCTGGATTTCTCTCTGGGCTCCTGGTTCCCTCTTCCAGCAGTGCTTGCAAGCTGAGATGGCTCCTGCCCCCTCCCACTGTTTCTCAATCATCTGCTGCTGGAGATTTTTCCTGGGAGTCTCTCTCAAGTGTAACTAGCTTTAGTGGGATAGCTGTGTTAGTCTGTAGCAGTAGAAAAGAGCAACAATCCAGTAGTGCCTTAAAGACTAACAAAATTTGTCGCAGGCTGTTGGACTCTTGCTCCAGAGCCAGTTTGGTGTAGTGGTTAAGAGCACAGACTGTGATCTGGGAGAACCGGGTTTGATTCCCCACTCCTCCACATGCAGCTGCTGCTGTGACCTTGGGTCAGTCACAAGTTCTTTCAGAGCTGTTCTCTCAAGGGCAGTTCTCTCAGAGCTCTCTCAGCTTCATCTAACTCATGCGCAATGCTCCCTCAAAGCTGTGGAGTCTCATGAGCAAGCATGGACGGCTTCAAGAGGGAACTAGATAAGCATATGGAGCAGAGGTCCATCAGTGGTTATTAGCCACAAGGGATAGATAGGGGCTCTGGGGCAAGGGATGCTCTGTATTCTTGGTGCTTCGGGGGGGGGGCAACAGTGGGAGGGCTCCTAGTGTCCTGGCCCCACTGGTGGACCTCCTGAGGGCACCTGGTGTTTTTGGCCACTGTGTGACAGAGTGTTGGCCTGATCCAACATTGGCGTGTCTTATATGTTCTTATGTACTCTGTGAGCACCTGGCATTAAAGTTGTGAGCGAGCGATTTGGCTACTGCATAAATGAGTTTGCTCTGGAGCCATCCTTCCTGAGCTAAGACAAAAAAGTGTGAGCTGGAGGCTAAAAAACTGAGCTGGCTCACACTCACTCAGCTTAGAGGGAACACTGCTCACGGCGTGTCTGTTGTGGGGAGAGGAAGGGAAAGGAGATTGTAGGCCGCTCTGGGTAGTAAAGAGCCATGGGGTCTAAATCCAGGCTTCTCCTCCTCCTCCTCAAGTGTGTCTCCTCAGCTGGTGCTTTCTATGTGCCATGGGGCCCTGCTGTATTTTCTGTTGCAACTCTTTGGTTTCAGGTGCTGCAGAAACCCCCCAGAAAGAGCAAAAGCCAAAGAAGCCAAGAGGAGCCTCTAAAAAGGCCCGGCTGATCATTCGCAACTTGAGCTTTAAGGTAGTACCCTGGGGAGGGGAGGGGAGGGGGTGTCCTGCCTCTGAGCTGCCCTGTTTCTTTTCCTGTAGCCCACATTAGAAGTAGACAATTGGGGAGGGGACCTGGCTCGGTGGTACAGCATCTGTTTGGCATGCAGAGGGTCACAGGGTCAATCCCCAGCATCTCTGCCTTGAGTGCCATTGAGAATGGCAAAGTACAAATAACATAAATAAGAGACTGGATCGGGTAGGAGGTGACGTGAAAGACCTCCGCCTGAGACCCTGGAGAGCGGCTGTCAGTTCTTAGTAGACCAGACTGACTTTGATGGACTGAAGGGGGGGGGGGTCTGATTCAGTAGGAGGCGGCTTCCTGTGTGTTGCTGTGCAAGTGAGCAGTAGACTCATCACGGGGCCGGGAGGTTCCTTGCATTTTACTCCGGTCCCCACAGAGGTGATGGGTGTTTCTGGATGGGTCCCCCCCCCCCCCCCCGTGGGCATGACAATTGGCCAGTCAGTTTAAGGGCTCCAAAGGCAGCCAGAGGAGCCCCTTTTGTAGATTTCCGCTCAGGGGAACCCAATGGCTGCTTGGATCAGGCCAACCAGAGGACTGGGGCTGTGGGGGGAGGGGGGATGCAGCCCCTTGCTTCTGGTCTGACTTCTGCTCCCCCTTATAGTGCACGGAAGAGGACCTGAAGGCAACGTTTGCTCCGTTCGGCACCGTCCTGGAAGCCTCTCTCCCCAGGAAGCCAGGTAGTATCCTTCACCATGACTCAGTCTCATTCACACGGTCGCGTGGGGGAGTCTGTCCCAAGACGGCCACTGACCTGGCTCAAGCCAAGCGGCCCTTGGCACGGGAACTCCTTCTGGTCTGGGCAAGGAATGCCAACGTGTTTAGGACACCCCAGCACTTGTGGGAGGATCCGGGATAATTCACAGTCTGCCCTTTGGTGTTGCGAGCTCCTCAGTCTTCTTTCATGCTTCTGTGTTTCAAGGTGAGCAGAGAGGGGGAGGGGAGCCCCCCCCCCGGCCTGCTGAAATGGTGGCACCTCTCTCAGCTCATTCCAGCCTCTGATTCAGCCCCCGGGACCTGGAGCCCAGCGTGAGGCTGCCAGTCCGGAGCAGGGAGTGGTCGTGCGCTGACAGGTGTTATCGTGCCAAGGGGCGATTGAAGCATGGTCCTGACATCTCTCTCTCTCCCCCCCCCCCCCCAGACGGGAAAATGCGTGGCTTTGCCTTTGTGCAGTTCAAGAACGTCCTGGAAGCAGGGAAGGCTCTGAAGGGAATGAACATGAAGGAGATTAAAGGTGAGCCCGGGAGGTTCCTGAGAAGGTGGACCTTGGGAAGTCCTGCCTGTGCTCGGACTTGAGCCCGTCCTGTTTGCCGGTCCCGAATCTGTCCTCTCTGGCACAGGCAGGAGAATGAAAAAGGGCCAAGTGGGGATGGGGGAGAGCTCTACACGGCTCAGCAGTTTGGGGTTCCTGGCTCAGAAAAAGACATTGGAGGAGCCCTGCTGGGTCAGTCCGGTGCTCCATCTGGGGCAGCATCCTGTTTCTCGTAGGAGGGAACAAAGCCTTTCCCCGGCACCGGTATGCAGAGGACTGTGTAGGGAGGTTCCCTTGACTCACCATGGCTTAGTGGCCATCGAGAGAGCTGTTCTCCAGGAATAAAACCCCATTGTAATGCCATCTACGCTCTGCATCCTCTGGCAGTGGATTAAACAACTAATTACTTATTGAATTAAAAATACTACTACTTGTCAATTCTGAATATATTGCCTATCAACAGTGGGAGGGCTTCTAGTGTCCTGGCCCCACTGCTGGACCTTCTGAGGGCACCTGGTGTTTTTGGCCACTGTGTGACACAGAGTGTTGGACTGGAGGGGCCTTTGGCCTGATCCAGCATGGGCTTCTCTTATGTTCTTATGTCTGGGGCAAGTGATGCTCTATATGCTTGGTGCTTGGGGGGCCACAGTGGGAGGGCTTCTAGTGTCCCGGCCCCACTGGTGGACCTCCTGATGGCCCCTGGTATTTTCGGCCACTGTGTGACACAGAGTGTTGGACTGGATGGGCCATTGGCCTGATCCAACATTGGCCTCTCTTGTGTTCTTATGTCTGGGGCAAGGGATGCTCTGTATTCTTGGTGCTTAGGGGGGAAACAGTGGGTTGGCTTCTAGTGTCCTGGCCCCACTGCTGGACCTCCTGATGGTCCCTGGTATTTTCGGCCACTGTGTGACACAGTGTGTTGGACTGGATGGTCCACTGGCCTCATCCAGCATTGGCTTCTCTTATGTCTGGGGCAAGGGATGCTCTGTCTTCTTGGTGCTTGGGGTGGTGGAGGCAACAGTGGGAGGGGCTCCTAGTGTCCTGGCCCCACTGCTGGACCTCCTGGTGGCACCTGGTGTTTCTGGCCACTGTGTGACCCAGAGTGTTGGACTGGAGGGGCCACTGGCCTGATCCAACATTGGCTTCTCTTATGTTCTTATTGGGTGCCCCTGAATTCTGTTACTATGGGAGAGGGTGAAAGAGCTTTTAAAAATCCATTTTCTCCACCCCGCACATCATTTTGTAACCCTCTGTTATGTCCCCATCTGCCTTGTCAGCCTCTTCCTAAATGGGAGTGGCCCAAACCCCTCAGGAAAAAGGGGCTCCGGCCACTCCGTCATCTCGGTTGCTCTCTTCTGTATTTCTCCTAGTCTGCAGCACAGGGACCAGAGCTGCACGTAGTATTCTCTCTGGAAGGACGTTATAATATCAAACATTTTTCAGTCCTTCTCCTAATAATCCCCAGCATGGAGTTTGCCTTTTTTACCTCTGCTGCCCGCTGAGTCGACATTTCCATTGAGACGTCCGCTACAGCCCCAAGATCTGCTTCCCTTTCAGTCTCAGCCAGTTCATACTCCCATCAGCATGTATTTAGAGCTAGGATTTTTGTTTGTTTCAATATGCAGCTTCTCGCAACTCGTTACACTGAACTTCATCCGCCCCCATGGTCGCCCACCCACCCAGTTTGTGGCGGTCCTCTTGGAGCTCTCCACAGTCATCCCTGGTTTCCACCATCCTGAATAATTTTTTGTCATTAGCAAACTTGGCCTCTACACCGCTCACCTCCAGTTCCAGATCCTTTATGAACAGATGAACTAGCACCGGATCCTATACTGATCCTTATGGTGTGATGAGAGATTCCCTTCCACATCCAAAGTGAGGATTGGAACTCAACATTTTTAAAGGCTTTGCCTGTGCAAAACTGTTTAGCAGCAGAGTTCTCCAGAGTTCATCTGTTAAAGAGAGATTATCAGCCTTTAACTTGGATAATTCAAAACAATAAGGGGGCTGAGTTCAGTTCTTTGCAATGTAATCAGCAAACCAGACAGAGAACTTGTAGAAATTTTTGTCACTTTCCTCCATTGCATGAACTGCCCGTTTAGTCCTTCTTTCTACTTAAGAGCATAAGAGATGCCAATGTTGGATCAGGCCAAAGGCCCATCCAGTCCAACACTCTGTGTCACACAGTGGCCCGAAATACCAGGTTCCCTCAGGAGGTCCAGCAGTGGGGCCAGGACACCAGAAGCCCGTCCCACTGTTGCCTCCACCACCCCAAGCACCAAGAAGACAGAGCATCCCTTGCCCCAGACATAAGAACATAAGAGAAGCCACTGTTGGATCAGGCCAATGGCCCCTCCAGTCCAACACTCTCTGTCACACAGTGGCCAGAAATACCAGGTTCCCTCAGGAGGTCCAGCAGTGGGGCCAGGACACCAGGACACTATCCCCCCCCCCCACCGCAAGCACTTATTTTCATTTACTTATTTATATTTATTTATAATTTGTATTTATAAACTGCCCTTCCCTGAGTACACAGGGCTCAGGGCGGTGGACAACAAAGAGTAAACACATTCATAAATAATAGGATAATTTAAATGATCCATAAATAGTAAGCGGCTAAAAAGACAACTATTCCAGATGGCGCAACATTCCAGCTGTGTGTCTGCCTCGGGGTGGTGGGGGTAGAGAAGCAGGGAAAGCAACTTTTAATCCATAAGAGGACTGGGAAGTGGACCGCCTTTAGAGGCCGTTGATGGTGGAAGTCCTGCCCCTCCTCCCCTGCCCCTCGGCTCCGCATGTCTCTGGCTCACCACGCATGCCGGTGCCCCGCTGTCATGCCCACCTCCGCTGTTTCTCCCTTTTCCTCCTTCAGACCGCCCTGTGGCTGTGGACTGGGCTGTGCCCAGGGAGAAGTACCAGGCAGCGGTGCAGGCTGCGGCGTCGCAACCCGGTGAGTGGCTCTGAGGAGGGTGGTCAGGCGAGGCGTGGATCCTCCCGCCAGGGATGGAGAGAGGCAGGCTCTTGGTGGCGTCGTGCTGCCCTTGGGGCGGTTTGCGTGGGCCCTGCCCCTGAAGGGGCCAGATCTCGGAGCAGTCAGGCCAACGTCCCCGCGGACCCTTCCCTGCTGCTTGCAGGCTTCCGTGGCCAAGGAGGAGGAGGCTCTTTTCCCTGCCCCAAACCGTCCAGCATCCGCACCTCAGTGGTGCTGGGCCTCAGAAGTGCCAGCCTTGGGGATGCTGCTCCTGTTTGGCAGACTCTCATCTGGGAGAACTGGGTTTGAGTCCCCACTGCTCCACGTGCAGCTGCTGTGGTGTGACTTTGGGTCAGTCACAAGTTCTCTCAAGAGCTGTTCTCTCAGGAGCAGTCCTCGAAAGAGCTCTCTGAGCCCCGCCTCCCTCACAGGCTGTCTGTCTGTTGTGGGGAGGGGAGGGGAAGGGGAAGGAGTCTGTAAGTCGCTCTGAGACTCCCTTGGGTAGTGAAGGGCGGGGGTTATAAATCCAATCTCTTCTTCTTCTTCTTCCGTCCGCTGGACCCCCAGAAGTTCTGGCTGCAGCCCAGTCCAGAGTCTGAGGCCAGACATGCTTTGTATCCGTTGCGTGGCCGTTCGGGGCCAGTCCCTCTGCCCTTCCCTGTGGTGGCATTGAATCACCTCTGCGAAAGGGAGGCAGCCAGCCAGTCATGTAGGAAAGTCCACAAAGAGCCAAGAGGAGATCGGCACATGCGCTGCTAATGATCAGTGCCCATCTGGCTAACTATTTTGTCACGTCTTCTGGAGGCTAGAGCCGAAAGGAGGGCGCCAAGTCCTCGTCTCCCAAGAGAACCTAGCCAAAGGAACCTTAGTGACTTCGTACCAGGAGAGTGAATTCCGGAGCATTTCCACTTCTGGTTTTTGCATTTGAACGGAGCCGCAGGTGCTTGGGATAGCCCTTCCGGTCACACAGTGAAGTGCTTTGGGCACATCCGGTGTGGATTGGAACCCGGGGCATGGCCCGGCATCTCGTTCTGTTCCAGCATCTTGTGTACACGGCCTTGATTCAATAAGGTGGCCTGCTGGTGTCCTGCTCAGTGGCAATGCCTTCGTGCCTCTTCTCCGGGTCCTGCCCTTGGTTTTCTGTGGGTGGGGTGGAGGACCAGCCCCCCCTCTTCTGTGACATGAGATGCCCGGCCTCTGCCAGAGTGCTGTGAGCTTCCCAGGGGGTCTAGAGGAGGGGCGTGAGCTCCCGTGCGTGTGGGGGGGGGGTAGGCAGAGGAACCACTTGCTCACGTGTCGTTGTGACTCTTCTCCCTCAAGGGACGTCCCAGAAAAAGACCCCCGAGGCCGTGCAGGAGGACACAGTCGGCGACAAGGGTGACCACAGCAGTGCAGCGGAGGAGGAGGAGGAGGAAGAAGTGGAGTTGGCTGAGCCCGTGGGGCGGGGCAGGTGAGGAGCCAGAGCCCTGCTCCGGAGGGCCCCCAGGCGGGCGCTTCTGGCCGTCCCATTGGAGTTTGCTTTTGGGGAGAGCGGCATTGTGTGGGGCTTTGGCGGAACGGGGACCCGCCCTCAGCCCTGGGAGACCGAGGTGCCGTCCTGTGGCTCGCAAGCCCCTGTTTTGGCCTTCCCACCCTGCCTGTTAGGACTATTTCTCTCTCCGTTAAACGCGGCCACCACTCACTGAATGGACACCACCTTCCTAGAGGGACAGTGAGACCCCCTCTGGCTGATTTCCCCACCTTGGGTACCTTGATCTTTGGGTGCCCCCTGGAGAGTTGGCAGTCTTCCGATTCGGGCCCGTTTGTGTTCCCTGGCCTCCCTTTGCCCCTGGTAACGTGCAGAGCGGGGAGGACTATGTGGTTAAGGCACACCAGGCTTTTTAAACTCAAAAAGGAAGATTTATTTAACTATATACAGGTTAGGCTTGAAAATAAACACAGGCACTTCGACATAACCTGGGCACAGAAATAAAACAGGATTGAAACGCAAGTCCTCTTCCCCGACACCCCCCCCTCTCTCTACCTTTGCAGTGGGTGGTGGCCTCAGGCCAGGATTCGCTTTCCCCCTCCTCGTGTTTGGAGGGAGACTGCAGCCCTTCCCTGGACTGGTCACCAGGACTGCCACCCTCCTGGGCTCCCCACCACGTATCTACAGTGGCCTGGACTGACCACGGGGGTCTGAGGCGACAGGAGCCCCCACCTGTCCACTCCCTGGAAGCTCTTGTCCACCCACTAAGCCCAAGGCTGAAGAGCAGGCGGAGACTAAAGACTCTCCTCCTCAAGGGCCAAAGCCTTTATCTCCCTGGCCCCGCCCCTGGGGTGTGTCCCTCTTTCCCCGCTTTTCCCCCTCAAGGCTGCTGGGAACTGTAGGCAGGGAGGTAGGGCAGCTCCATTGTTCCCTATGGAGTACCCTCCCCCTCCCCATGTAAGGAACTGCCAGGCTGGCAGCCATTTCATCACGGGGGACACAAGCGCTAGACGGAGCAGCGGCTGGGTGTCTGCAGAGCCGTGCTTGGCTTCCTCCCTCGGTCCAAACTGGGCAGAGGCATCGAGAGCAGACAGGAGCCGGAGCCCTTCCGGAGTGGCTCTGTTCAGACACAGATAGAGAAGTGCCTCGTAGTGACCGCGGGGGTGTCAGCTCACATTCTCTCCCCCGCACCCCGCTGCCCCAATGCAGGTACTTTGAATGCCGAATTCCCCCAGCGGAGAGCTCGGAGGAGGAGGAGGCGGCACAGGAGGAGGAGGAGGAGGAGTCCGGCCCTGCAGGGAGTTCCGATGGAGAAGCGGGTGACGGTGAAGAGGAGGAAGAGGGCGGCGACTCCGAGGAGGGAGGAAGAGGTTGGCTTTGGTGGTCTCTGAGGAGCTTTGGGCACTCTGGACAGCATGGTTCCCGGAGACGGTCTTGGAAGAGTGTGGCTGGGTTAGGCCAGAGGCCCTGCCGGTCCAGCAGCAGCAGCAGCAGCAGCGTCCCCCCCACCAGGTGCCCCTCAAGGCCCAGGGGAGTGGCCCACCCACGGAGAGGGTGGAGATTCCCTGCGGCCAGCCCTCACGGTCCACGGCCCCGGGTGAAGGAGTCTTCTTTCAGGTTGTCGGCTGGTAGAGGAGGAGCCGCAGCGGCAGGCGCCGTCTGGGGCCCCGGGGCAGTCCTTTTGGGGTGGGGGCGCCTCTGACGTGCTCTTCCTGGGGGTGCGGACCGGCCCTTTGGGCTCAGAAGAAGCGGATCCCCTTGTTGAGCGCGTGGCTGGTCCACTGCCTGGAGAGGAGACCCCGGAGGAAGGCCTGCTCGGTGCCAACCTGTCTCTCCCCCTCCCAGGCGCTGAGGCCCCCGCCAAGCCGAAGAAGAGGCAGCCGCGCCAGTCAGACGTGTCCGAGGGCAGAACCATCTTCATCAGGTGGGTGCGGGGCCTCGGGCTTGCCTTGGTCCTCGGAGAGAAGCCCCGGCTCTGCGGCAGAGCCCTGAGGGGGTGGAGCGAGGAGAGCTGCCCCAGGGCGGAGGGGGCCTTTGTCTGCCTGGGGACGTGCCGGAGGGAACAAGGCCTTGCCAAGAGGGACTGCTGGGGGGGGACCCTTTGGACACGTCTGGTGCCACCCCTGGGGGGCTAGTGTGTGGGCTCTGCTTGCCCCCAGGAACCTGTCTTTCGAGACGGAAGAGGAGGAGCTCGGGGAGCTGCTGGAGCAGTTTGGGGAGCTGAAGTACGTGCGGGTCGTGCTGCACCCGGACACGGAGCACTCCAAAGGTAGGCGGCCCCCCTCCCTCCCTCTGGGGGCGGGGCGAGGTGGGGTCAGGGGGCCTGTGGCTGAGCCAGCCGGACTCCACAGCCAGGCCCTGGGGTGGAACAGAGGTGGGGGGGGTGGAGGAACTGCGTTCAAGTCCTGGCTCGGGCTTAGGGCGAGGGGGGAGTCCTCCTCCCTCAGAGTGCCCTCCTTGTCGGCTGAGGAGGAATGGCAGCCGGGCGCCTTGTGGGACTGCAGCAAAGGGGGGAGGGTGTCCAAGCTGAACCCTTTGGGGCTGCCTCTCCCCCCTGGCCCCCAGGCCCTGACTCTGCATCGCCCCCTCTGCAGGCTGCGCCTTTGCCCAGTTCCTGACGCAGGACGCTGCCCAGAAATGTCTCCAGGCTGCCGAGGAGGAGAGCGAGGTAAGGCAAGGGGGGAAGGGACCGTGGTCCTCCCCCCAAACAAAAACTCTGTGGGACTGGTGGGGGGTGGGTGCCCCTCTCTTCTGTGGCCTGCGGCCCTGTCCCTTTTGAGGGCGTTGCTCACCGTCTCCCCCCCCCACCTTGCTCGGCAGGGCGGAGGGCTGCGTCTCGGGGGCCGCCGCCTCCGGGTGGATCTGGCCGTGAGCCGCGAGGAAGCCCAGCAGCTGCGAAGCAAGAAGGTGAAGAAGCCCACCGGCACCCGGAACCTCTACCTGGCGCGGGAAGGCCGTGAGTGAAGCGTGCCTGGGCGAGGGGGCCTTCTGCTCCCGGGCCCGAGAACCTGCCCTCTGGGGCCGATGCCAGCCACAGCAAGTCCCCTGCCGCTCTGTGGCCCTTGAGGGGGGGCTGTGAGCAGCAGGGAAGAGGGGAGGGGAAGGCAGCTGAGTGGTGGTTGGGAGGGGGAGGCCTTTCATCCAAACCAGGCATGGCTGGGCTTCGTCTTTCCATCCTTCTGCTCACATCTGAAGGGCAGGGGTGAAGACTGTCTCATTCTTAACCTAAATCCAAAGGGAGTTAACCTTGCTCCCTTCTCCTCTTCCTCCTCCTCCTCCTTCTCTGTCTGGCCCATGGGGTGCTTTGTAGTCTCCAGCCCAGGCTGCTTCCAGCATCAGAGCCAGGCTAGAAGGGAAGCTGAACAGCAGGGGAGGAAGGCGACCTTAAGTGTCTGCCCCCCCCCGCCCCCGCCGCCTGTGTGCATTGTTGAACCGACAATAACAATGTGTGGACCCCTGCCCCAGTCACATCTAGTTGGGCCGACGGGTGAAAGGGCCACGTATTTATTATTTATTATATTTATTTCTTACTTTCAATTTATATCCCACCTATGCCAGGGCAAACTGGCTCAAGGCGGTGTATGGGGAGGGGCCCTGGCTGCATCTGCTTGGCATGCAGAAGGCCCCAGGTTCAAATCCTGGCAGCATCTCCAGTTAAAAAGGACCAAGCAGGAAGTGACGTGAAAGACCTCAGCCGGAGACCCTAGAGTGAGCAGCTGCCAGACCAAGTAGAGCCAGTTTGGTGTCGTGGTTAAGTGCGCGGACTCTAATCTGGGAGAACTGGGTTTGATTCCCCACTCCTCCTCCCCTTGTACCTGGCTGGATGACCTTGGGCAAGCCCTAGTTCTGACAAGAGCTGTCCTTGAAAAAGAGCCATTTCTGTCAGAGCTCTCTCAGCCCCACCTGCCTCACAGGGTGTCTGTTGTGGGGAGGGGGAGGGAAGGGAAAGGAGTCTGTAAGCCGCTCTGGGACTCGTTTGGGTGGTGAAGGGCCATGGGGTATAAATCCAATCTCCTCCTCTTCTCACCACCGACTACCTGAGCCTTTCAGTGGGAGATGCTGCTGGGGACGGAGCCTGGGCCCTGGCTCCCTTGGGTGGGAGGGAGTGGGGGCTCTCCTGGGGAGGACTGGAAGGAAAGGGGGGCTCAGGAGGCGAATGTTCGAGTGTCCCCCCCCCATGTAGAGCGAGCGGCTTCACACTTGCCGTCAGCTTCTTCTGTCTTCCTCTGCAGTGATCCGTGCGGGCACCCAGGCCGCGGAAGGCGTGAGTGCGACCGACTTAGCCAAGAGGGCGTGGGTGAGTAGAGGGCACGGCAGGCCAGCCGGAGACCCAAAGCATCCGGGGCCAGCAAAGAGGAGGACTCTGGGTGTCGAGGGGGGCGGGTGGGCCGCTAGCTCCAAGGCAGGCCTGACCCAGCCCTCTTTTGAGGAGGAGGAGGAGAGAGGGGAGCCCCTCTGAACACCCCCCCTCCCCGTGCACTGTAGAGGAGCCAGGATTTGATCCTGGGCAGGAAGCTGGGGAAAGGTTCTGTCACTTGAGAACGTCCGGAGGCCACTGGGTCCCCTCCTGTTCCTCTTCCCGTTTCCCCCCAGTAGCTGTGATCAGATTCTAGAAGAGGAGCACAGAAGCCAGGCCTGCCCCTCCCTTCCCCATCTCTCCTCTCCTCCTCGCTTCGATGGGCCTGTCCTCTGTGAACTGACCCACTTCCCTTTCCAAGTCAGCTCTAGGCAGGGTCTGCCCCGACATCCGGGGGGCCATGAATTCCACACGTTGCTTTTTCTTTGAGTGGACGGCTGCTTTTTATTGTTCCCGAATCTGCACCCCACAACTGGGATGGGGGGCATGAGTGTTTCAGTGTTTCAGGAGGAAATGTCTCCCCGCTCTCCAGCCTGTGTCTCACTTTATCAATGCCTGTCATGTCCCTTCTTAGACATGTTTTTCTCTGAGCTAAAGTGTCCCAAAGACCTCGGGGTTTCCACCAAGGGAAATTCAAAGGAGAAGCCCGTGCAATGCCTGTTCAGTCGGGCCAGTGGAACTCACACAACAGAGTGCGCAGGCTTTTGAGTTCTCCTGAAGGCACCATGATCAGTAAAGGTTCCCTTGCTTGAAAGCCAGTCGAGTCCGACTCTAGGGTTGCAGTGCTCATCTCTGTTTCCAAGCCGAAGAGCCAGCGCTGTCCGAAGACATTTCCATGGTCATGTGGCCAGCATGACTAAACACCAAGGCGCACAGAACGCTGTTTCCTTCCCGCCTAAGTGGTCCCTATTTATCTACTTGCAATTTCTTGCTTTCGAACTGCTAGGTGGGCAGGAGCTGGAACTAGAGAAGGGAGCTCACTCCGTCATGCAGCACACTCGGGTCTCGAACTGCTGAACTACCGACCTTCCCCAGCCTGCAGTTCAGCGTCTTAACCACTTGAGCCACCGTAGGCTGGAGATTTAAAGAGGGCCCAGCCAAAGGAGGGAAAGGAGCATTTCCGGCCCTGACCGGGGAGGCCTTGTGTCCCTCTGTCAGGCTGTGGGGACACACACACAGAATAATCCACTTTCAATCCACTTTCTACACACTTTCCAACTTGGATTTTGCCAGTTCACACAGTAAAATCCAGTTGGAAAGTGGATTATTTCGTGGGTGTGGCTGCAGCCCCAGTCTGGATTTCCCTGCAAGGCTGTGGGTGTGGAGCTTCCTCTTTTGGAAGGCGCCTCCAGCCTGGCCTCCTTTGGGTGGCAGCAAGGTGTCCCCTCTGAGTCAGTATTCCAAATGCGGTTGTGCCGGAGGCTTCAGGGTGCCAGCTGGCTTATTTTCGGGTCCTTCCCTTAATTATCCCCGGCATGGTCTTCATGGGCCCCTCCAGCTGAGTCTCCTCCAGGTCAGACCCCCATCAGCACATGCTTAAGTTGAGGGTGCTTCATTTCCACCAGATGTCCGTCACCTTGAGAGCCAGTTTGGTGTAGTGGTTAGGAGCACGGACTCTAATCTGGGAAAACCGGGTTTGATTCCCCACTCCTCCTCCACTTGCAGCTGCTGGGTGACCTTGGGCAAGCCACAGTTCTGATAAGAGCTGTCCTTGAAAAAGTTTTTCTGTCAGAGCTCTCTCAGCCCCACCCGCCTCACAGGGTTGCGGGGAAGGGAGAGGAGTTTGTAAGCCGCTCTGAGACTCCCAAGTGAAGGGCAAGGGCCATAAATCCAATCTCTTCTTCTTCTTTGTGCTCATGTGTGGCCCTCGATTGCCACGTTGTTCCTCACTCGCCCTGCCTGGGGAGAGACCCTCCTGGCCTGGCCCTGGTCCGCATCCTTCTGACTATTTGGGCGTCACCTGCAGACTTGGCCGCTTGGCCGCTTCCTTCCCTTCTGTCTTGTTTCTGAGCATCCAGGGCTTCCTGACGTGGGTCGGGATCCCCGCCGCTCGCTTCCCTGCACTGCTCCACCTTTAAACGTCGCCTGTCCCGTGTGGTGCTTTATTCTGTTTTTAGCAACCGTTTTTACTTAACTTGCCCGGAGTAGATGTTATGCAAACTGGCCTGTAACTTCCTGGATTCTCTCTGCATCCTTTTCCAAAAGACGGCCTTGATATTATTAGGCGCTTTCCAGTCCCGTGGCCAATCTTAGTGACACGTTGTGTTATTAGTTCTACGTGTACTTCTTATCTCTGGGAGAGGCACAGTTTCCCAGTGGATTTCTCCCAGAACCCGCCGTGTCTGCTGTCCATGCCCCCCGGGGACCTGTTGGGCCTTAGCTGGGTCTTAGCCACTGGGCCTCCCCCTCCACCCCCTCCTCTTGAGCTGGCTCCTCAGGTTCTGCCCCTGGGCATGGCCCAGAGAAGCCAATGCTGGATCAGGCCAGTGGCCCCTCCAGTCCAACACTCTCTGTGTCACACAGTGGCTAAAAACACCAGGTGCCCTCAGGAGGTCCAGCAGTGAGGCCAGGACATTAGAAGCCCCCCCCCTGTTGCCCCCCCCCCCCAAGCACCAAGAAGACAGAGCATCACTTGCCCCAGAGCCCCTATCTATACCTAGTGGCTAATAGCCACTGAGGGACCTCTGCTCCATATGCTTATCTAATTCCCTTTTGAAGCTGTCCATGCTTGTAGCCGCCACCACTTCCTGTGGCAGTGAATCCCATGCGTGAATCACTCTTTGGGTGAAGAAGGACTTCCTTTTATCCCGGTGGCTTCCTCCCCTCCCCTCCTCCCCGCGCAGCTGTGACTCCCCTCTCCTCTCTCCAGTTTGAGGAGCTGAAGCACCAGAAGCTGAAGGATCAGAACATCTTTGTCTCCCGCACCCGGCTCTGCGTCCACAACCTGCCCAAGAGTGTCGACGATGCCCGGCTCCGGAAGCTGATGCTGCAGATCCTCGATGGGACGCCCGGCGTGCGGATCAAGGAGGTGAGCCCGCCCCTCCTTACGGGAGCCCTGGCCCTTGACGGCCTCCCGGCTCTCCCCCTCTCCAAAAAAAAAAAACACTGTTGAGGAGAGCTAAACTCTCCGCCTCTCGTGCGAGGTCCGCCAGTGACATCTGCTGGCGGGAGGCAGAGTTGCAGGTGAGGCGGCGGAGCCAGCCTGCTCCGAGAGAAAAGGGTTTGTGGCCAGAACAGGGGCCTGCGGTCACAAGGTCATGGAAGGTACCTCCAGGGTCATCTAGTCCAACCCCCTGCACAATGCAGGAGATTCAGAAATCCACACCCAGAAGATGACAACAAACCTCCAGGATTGCTTCCTGACCCTCTCGTGTTGTCTCGATGGACAAGATGGAAAGGACTTGGAAAGCCTGGAGGGTTGCAAGGAGCTCGGTGGGCGGGGATTGGGGGGGGGTTCCCTTGGCCACAGAACGGCTCTCCTCCCTCACCTCAAGCCCCCACTCCAGCCAGGGCATTCCAGCACTTTTACTCTGCAGCCCCCCACGATCTAGGGATGTGTTCTTTTGTATTCCTTACTTGCTTTTCATTTTTTGCTCTCTTTATGTACCCCACCTTTCTCCCCTGGAGCCGCTTACATCAGTCTCCTCCGTCATCGAGAGCCAGTTTGGTGCAGTGGTTAAGTGCAGAGACTCTAATCTGGGAGTACCGGGTTTGATCCCCCACTCCTCCACTTGCACCTGCTGGATGACCTTGGGCAAGCCATAGTTCTCTCAGAGCTGTCCTTGAAAAAGAGCAGTGTGACGACCCCTTATCTGGGGAGGTCTGGTTTCTCTTTAAAATGTTCTTTATGTTTTGTTTTACTGTCTATATCTGGCCGCCACCAGGAAATTTAAGGCTTTCCAAACCTTTATACTATGATATTTCTGTCACTGGATAGGTAGGTCGGTTTTTAGGCTTTCATGAGGGTCTGAGTGTTTCCTGGGAAGTATTTCTTTCAGAACTGGTATCTTAAATAAAAGTAGATTTATTGATATAATTCGTAAATAATATGGTAGAACACTGTAACTAGGAATGGGTAAATACTAAACAATTGCTTTTTCACACACTTTTCCCTTCACTGTCAGGGATCTTGGCATGTAACTTTGTAACTTTAACTCAAGGTCATGTAAGTTCACTGTTTCTCTCCAGGACATACAGCCTTTCCTAAACTTTGTCTTCAATTACTTTCATTTACATTTTACTATTCTCTCAGAACAACCTCAGCTGTTCTTAACTGCACACACACAAACTGCTTCTCTCTCAGACTTCAGAACGAACTTTGTTGTT